AGCAACTCGAGGTTTGAATTTGTTCTTCAACTTGCTGGTCTGTCTGATACTTGCTGGATAAATTGGAAAAAGATTTTTGTGCACTATCAGTATGGAGGCAAAGACGATAAAAGCTTTGTCTCACATGCTTTGGCATGTTGCTAGGAGAGGCTATTCCTCAGAGAGGGACATCATACTTGGACATGGTGGAGCATCGGCAAGAAAGAGGAAGACGCTCAACACAGGTGGCTTGACACAGTGACTGCAGCAATGGGCTCAAGTGTGTCAGGGCTTGTGAGGATGGCACAGGATCTGTTGCTCATAGGGTCCCTATGGGTTATACTCAATTCCACGGCACCTAAAAGCATGAGTATGTATACAGAGCGCTGGCACACAGTACATAGGGAGTTGCAGTGCTAACTCAAAGACATTGTCTCTCCACCAATTTTAATAAACCAACTGCTCTGAGAGAGAAAGATGGACAATTTCCTCCTGCAAGATTTTCAGCCTTGGAAAATCCACTGGAGGGTCAGCTATAAATTGGTTCCAACTCATCAACAGTGAGAGTTTTAATTAGTATGTTTGTGATATCTTACACATTTTCTAATGTGAAATTAAATAATTGTGGTAGTGAGTTAGGAAAAGCACCACTCCCCTGACCACAGGGCAGGGGATTCTGTGAGCAACGGGAGGTGGAAATTTTTTTTTTTTGCTTGTTTGTTTCTGTGTTTATTAGTTCAATTTTTTTATTTTATACAGGTTTACTTACAAAGTTCATAAAGTTAATAGACATTGTTTTTCACACAGGATCTTTTCCCTTTCCTTTACCCATTCCTCCCTCCACTCATCAAATTGTGTGACCTTATGTTGAAGCTCCCCCTCCCTGGATTCTCATACTCGTTCTACAATAATAATGGTCTTCAACAGTTTTTTAACAATTTTTATACAATTTGTCTTTATGAGACTGAGTTAGTAGGTGGTGGAAATTTGAGGTATTTAATAGCTGTGGATACCCAATGGAAGGGAGCTATTGCTACGATAACAGTGAGATGTTCAGGTGAGTGGAGGTGGTCCAGACGGTCCATGTATACAAGAGAAACTTGAGGTAAACACACATGGATCATCCGTTGTGTCCTTCAGAGCCACCATAAAGAGGGCTGCTTCATCCCTGGTGGGGACTGAGGTCTATCTACCAAGCTTGAGATCCTTTACCCTCTGTGATTTAAACGTTGAATGTTAAAAATTTCTACTCATTTAAAACCATTGGACACAGTGGACCAATTTAGCAAAGTGGCAGGATACAAGATCAACATACAAAAATCAGTTGGATTTCTCTACAGTGACAAAGCAAATACAGAGCCAGAACTAAGAAAAACAATACCCTTCACAATAGCTAATCACAAGATTAAATACTTGGGAATAAATTTAACCAGAAGCACAAAGGATCTATTCAAAGAAAATTACAAGACATTACTACAAGAAACAAAAAGAGACCTTGAAAAGTGAAAGAAAGAATATCCCTTGCTCATGGATAGGCAGACTCAATATTGTGAAAATGGCAATACTACCAAAGGCAATTTACACGTTTAATGCAGTCCCAATACAAATACCAATCCCATTCTTCAATGAGATGGAAAGGCAAACTCCAGTTTCGTTTGGAATGGAAAGAAGCTCCAAATAAGCAAAGCACTCCTTAAAAAATAGAAGAAAGGTAGGAGGCATCTCACTCCCTGATTTCAAATCCTACTACACTGCCGTGGTAAAGACAGCATGGTACTGGTACAATGACAGACACATAGATCAATGGAATCGAATTGAGAATCCAGAGATCAACCCATCTATCTATGGTCAACTGATTTTTGACAAGGAGATTAAATCAGTTAAGTGGGGAAACAACAGCCTTTTTAACAAATGCTTTTGGCAAAATTGGAAAACTATCTGCAGAAGACTCAAGCAAGATCCACAAGTGACTCCATATATAAAAATTAATTCAAGATGGATCATGGACCTAGGACTAAAACCAAGGACTATAAATTTCATTAATGAAAAGCTAGGAACAACGCTAGAAGTCCTAATCCACAACATAAATAGTCTTCCAAGTATCCTGAAAAACCCGCAACCAGAAAAAGATAAAGTAGATGAATGGGATCTTCTAAGAATCAAATCCCTACACATATCTAAAAACTTCTCCAACAGGGTTCAAAGGGAAGCCATTGAATGGGAAAAAGTATCTGATAATGACATATCAGATAAGAGGCTTATATCCAGAATTTATAAAATACTTGAGCACCACAACAAGATAAAGGTAAATAATCCAATAGAAAAATGGGCACAGGATATGAACAGACACTTCACTGAAGAAGACATTCAGATGGCTAACAAGCACATGAAGAAATGTTCAAAATCCCTAGCTCTAAGAGAGATGCAAATTTAAACAACTATAAGATATCATCTCACCCCAGTCAGAATAGCAAAATTTAACAGAACAGCAAGCAACAAATGCTGGTGAGGTTGTGGAGAAACTGGAACCCTGATTCACTGTTGGTGGGAGTGTAAAATGGTGCAACCACTGTGGAAGGCGGTATGGCGCTTTCTCAAAAAGTTACAAATAGAGATACCATTTGACCCAGCAACTCCACTACTGGAAATATAGCCCAAAAAGACCATAACTGACATCCAAGCAGATATATGCACACCCATGTCCATTGCGGCTTTGTCCACAATAGCAAGGAGCTGGAAACAACCTAAGTGCCCATCAACAAACGAATGGATAGAGAAGCTGTGGTATATTCACACAATGGAATACTATGCTGCATTGAAAAACAAGGAACTCATGCAATGCTATTCAAAATGGGTGACCCTGGAGGATATTATGCTGAGTGAAATATCTCAGTCACAAAAGGACAAATACTGCATGGTGCCACTGTTGTAAAACAGGACTGACTTTGGGGTTGGGGAGAGACTGAGAAAGATGGGTTCAATAATGTATATTGCATTGAAACAGATGAGGAAGAAAACTGTTTAAAAGGGATATGTGATTAGGTATTTTTGACAGGAGTCTAAAGCAAAGGCTACATGGTGGAGTGGAGCTGGGGGGAGGTTTTGTAAAACAATGAAAGAATTTTTCTTTTACTTTTCCAAGAGGGTAGTATACTAGGGGGGAGGGTTGGGAGGGGAGAAAAGTGCAACAACGAATGAATGGAAATCCCAAGTCCCTGTAAATTTTTACTGAAATTAATAATAAATTTAAATTTAAAAAATCTACTCATTTGAAGTCACTTGCACAGTGCTTACAGATATTTGACATTTTAACATGAACATTAATCAATATAGTAAGTATGCCTGTCATATTAAATATTCTAAGAAATTAGCGTAGATTCGTGTAGATAAATCAGGAAATTGGACTCATGTGTATCTGTTTAGTCAAACTTGACATATTTATTCACAAAGATCTGACTTTTGAAGATAAGGAAACAAAATGAATAAAATGCAAGGTACTGAGTGTGTATCCATATACTCATATACACTCACATGCGCACTCATGATCAAGTCACAGGGCAATCTGCTCTAGGAAATGTCACCTTACCTTGTATGCCTGCTCACTGACAGCTTTGATGTTGGCTTCTCTCCATTTTCCTGGAGTTCCACCAATCACCTCTCGATAGTTCACATAATAGCCAGTGACGTCAACCCCTCCCGTTTTATCAGGTTGCTTCCATCCGAGGACCATTGAATCACGCAAACTTTCAAGACAGGTGATATCATAGGGTGGAGACGGCACCGCTGTGCAATACGAATAGCTTGTGAGCAGGCAGAAACACACTTAGGATTCTATACATTTTTAAACTGGCTGAACTGGTGCCACTCATGAAAAAATCTTTTGAAAAAAACCCTAAAATGAGAAACTGATCAGTAACTTGGCGTTCAATGCGGTATATGAGAAAATAAAATCAATTCAATGAAAATATATGCTGGAAATACTATTCTAAAAATAATATGCTCATAGAGAAGAACTAGTGTTGAAATATGAACAGCAAAGTTATAAAATATCCTAAAAATGAATCTGGTATACGAGGGACAAGTATCAAATATTCTAATTAGTCAATTCTTATCTTACTGACAAAAAAGTGTTAAATCTATTCTGGGAATATAGACTATCTAGCCTAAACTATAGATATGTTGTTGTGTACCGTTGAGTCAGAACCGACTCGTAGCTGGCTTTGCAGTGCATTTTCAGAGACGGTAAATCGCATGGGAGGAGATTGTCCTTCCATGCTTATGATATTTCATTAAGCTTTAAATGGCAACTCAGAGATAAAATTAGTTTTATTGATTTGAATCAAATGAAAGAGAATTTTAAAACCTGAGGATAAATCCAGAACTAGTTACTATCCTGTTAAAATATTATTTCCTTGCTGATTATTTTTTTTTTTTTTTGCATGCACTGAACACAAATATTTCAAAACACTTCACTTGGCCTGTGACCAAGTCTGTCCTGCTCTACTCGCTAGTTCGCTCATCAAAATGAGTTCAAGGACTCTGCAACCAAGTTACTTTAAAAGCCTCCACTGCCATCAAGTTGAAATATGGACAGGATAAAGGATAAGTAAAGGATATGTAAAAGTCAGTTATGACACATTAGAAGACACACAGAGTCAAAATTGGGCGGCGATTGTGGTGGACACGGATGGAAGAATGTGAGGTGGACAATGAGAGGTGAAGACAGTGATGGAGACAGATGAAATGTGTTGTTCATCCAGCGCTCACCTAGATCCTTCTTCTTTTTCAGTGGGTCAGACTTACTTTTCCCCTTGGGAGCTGCTTTCTGTGGTGGTGATGGGGGAACCTCTTCCTGAACTGTGTCACTTACTTTACTCACTTCCGTTTTGCCCAGTTCGTGAGAGCTACTGGGCGGTGCACATTTGTTAAGTTTGCTACCAAGCAAAGCATCTTTCTTAGAGGTGGGCTGGGGGGCTTCATGCATGCCCCCCTGGATGTCAGTTAGTCCACCGGGCGTGTCACTCAGCTCAGGCCTCGCATCTTGGGACACTGCTGCCCCTACAATTGCCAGATAACAACAAAAACACTTTGAGCCTGGAGATAGCAGGAAGTGCTCTTAAGAAGACAAAGAGAAGAACATTAGGACAGAAAATACAGCACAAACAATGCTGGGTTCAGAACAACCACCCAGATTCATGAGAAATAAGGAAATAATACATTTTTAATTATTTACATCAACAAACATTTCAGCTTCTCCAGTTTGAGGAAAAAGAACAGAAACACAGAACAGGAACCACTTGGATCGGCAGAAATAGGGTTTTTTTTAGTATTTACAAGAAAAAGCAAATTTCAGACATTTTGTAAAAGATACAAACTCCATTATTCAACAGAATGGGGAGAAAAAGGGACCAAAGGTACACAAAAGACATCATATAAGTGATCTTGATTTTATAACAGATTTACATACACTATAGCAACAGTAATGGCCTGTACCTCCCAATCTCAAAGAAACAAGGTCACTATTATCCATCTTATTATCCTTTCCCCCCAAAATATCATGAGGCAATTCCAACTCATGGTAATACTCTATAGGGTTGTTCTAAAAACTGAAATAACATAGAAACAAATTGGCAGGCCTTTCTTCTGCAGAGCTGCTAGATAAATGAAAACTACTACCCCTTAAGTTAATGTTATAATCCATCGAGTTGAAGCTGACTCATAGCTGACCCTCTAACAGGTTTTCAGAGGCTGTTGCATGAGAGGAGATTGCACATCTATTTCCTTCAGAGCAGCTAGTGGACTTACCCAGTAGGACACCTTTAGGTTAACAGCCATTGCAAACCATTTGTTCCATCTGGGCTGCCTTCGTTTTAAAAAGAATGCTAAAAAAGACATACTGAATGCCAGCTAAAGTAATGGAAATAATATTAAATATTTTTCTTTTTAAGTATGCAGTATTCTATCTGGTGTTTCACTTTTATTGTTCTGAACTCTCTGGGCCCCTTTGCATACTTCCTCCAAGACTGAGAGGTACGGCTTGCACATACGTAGAATTGCTTTGTTACTGGCTTTATTCTGATGACTGCTTTGCAAGCAGAGATGAAGCACACGGTTAGTCAACTGCACGTGCTGTGTATGACTCTCACAGTTTACTGTTAATGTGCTGTTAGTGCAAACAAGCATGCTCTGTCGCAGATGAAATGACTTTTTAGATGCAACGACATGTGTTACGTATGATCTACTGCTTTATGGTATCAGGTGTTTCCTCACATTCCCAGGACGAGCATGGAGTTAGAATGGAGTTGCACACAAGTGCTCATGGGAAATGTCTGATGAACTTGAACTTGTGAAGATGAAAGGCTACAGAGACTGGACGGTGATGATGGTCTGAAAATGACAGCTATAGGAGGTTAGCGTCACCTGGGCCCAGGCACTGACTGCTGAGCACGGAGCCGTCACACAACACTAGCAGCATTAAACGATTTCTGGAGGGAGGATACCTTTCTGGTAACTTAGAGAAAGTAATTTTCGCCATGCAAAATGGTAAGAAACTTACCAATAGCAGCCTTCACTTCTATAGCTTCTGAGTCCTGTGAATAGTCACTGAGTCCAGCTGCATTAACGGCTCTGACTCGGAAAACGTAACTCTGACCAGTCACTAACCCATGACAAGTAAATCTAGAAAGAAAGACATTTTCATGAATGTCCTGAGAGAACTGTAAAGAGGTCCAGGTGATGTAAGTGTTTTTGGCAAGGAGGGAGCTAAGGTAATCTTTCAGACTCCTGTTCAGGAATAAAGAAACCTGGTTTGACCTTAAATATGTCCCTGAACTTTTTTGAGCTTCTGTTTGCTCTATGAAATGGGGACTTTAATACCTGCCTTGTAAAAATTCACCATGATTTTAATAAGCTCACATTTCATAAATAAGAACTGGGGAAACTATGGTGGTGTAATTTATAAGGAATCACCCTGTCAATCCAAAGGTGGTGTCTCTGGCGGCCCGAATCCATAATCGCTCTGAAGGAGGAAGATGGGCAATCTCCTCCTGTGGAATTGACAGCCTCAGAAAACCCACTGGAGAGTCAGCTGTAAGTTAGTTCCAATTAAATGGCAATGGGTTTGAGTACTGAGGGGTTTTGAGAGTATTAATAACACTACTCATGGCTATTTCAGACCTGTGTCATGGCTAAATGGCATTTGTTCGCTGCATGCCACAGACAGCTAGGCACCATCTCTCCATCTGCCCAAAAATGGATACTAGAGACTTAAAATATGGCAAAAAAGGAAATTCAGATCTATCACTTAGAGGATCCAATAATGAACAGTGAGTCCATGGACAACCTCACACATAAAATAATCTTTCTTTTTACTCATGCTTTAAAAATACAGTTATTACATGACTCACTGTGACGTTTTACTCTTCACCAAGGACTAAAATAAAAGGAAATGTCTGATGACTCAATTACCTTTAACACGATCACATATTTAATACAGTAGCATGACTAAGGCCAGTCCTTTGGGTCAGCTTAGCTCAGTAACTATTTACTGAGCATCTCAGGGAACAGGACCGTGCTGGGGATTGAAATAGATTGAATAGAAAGCAATGAAACCAGAACTCAACAAACAGAAATAGAAAACAAAGGTGGTACTTGCCCAGCCGAATTTAAGAACCAAGGCAAGGTTCAAACTCCATGAGCTCCATCATCCCGCTTTCCTCCATAATCAAGCATTCTCACTGGCTCTCACCACCCAAAAACACCCGTCTGGGAGCATTCTGCTGCTTCCCCAATCTCTTCCTATTCTGATGCCACATGTTTCTTCAGATAGTCTAACTTCTTGAATGATTTGTTCAGCCTACAGACTGAATACACTTGGGGAAAGGATAGTGTAAATGCACATCTTCCTTGATTTTAATCCATTGTATATTCTCTTCCTCTATGTGTATAACAGCTTCTTGATCTAGGTATAGGTTTCATGTTGTTGTTGTTGTTGATTATCATCAAGTCATGCATGACTCATAGCAATTCCATAAACAAAAGACTTGAGGCCTTTCTATAACTACCATTTCTCTGAGTTTATAGAGTTTCCTCTCCTAATAACATAATCAGAATAGAGGGGTAAAAACAGGAAAGTAATATAAAGGGGAGGAGGGAATCAAGACTAAATTCCAAAATCAATCTCCACAATAGACTATGTGCTTCCTATTGCCAAAGGGGCCCTTTAGAGTAGTGAGAGAAAATCTTCACCCTGGAACCCACAGTGTCCCTTTTCAGCATGAAGTAGCTAAAAGAACACGCCGTCCCCTTTTCCTTATGAATCAGGGTGAAGTCTCTCTCAGGGAGGAGTGATAGGGAATGGCAAAGGACACACTGACAAAGGAGATTAATCAGATCTGGCTTTGACAAGCACTGTGACAATTGGACAATTAAAACAGACTTTCAAGGGGGGGGGAAAGAGGAACGAACTGGGGAGGAGGGTAGAGAAAATAGTGCAACAATGAGTGAATGGTAACCCAAAATCTCTGTAAATGTTCATTAAAATTAATAAAATTTAAAAAAGATATTTCAAATAAACTTACTGCATAGCAGACAGTGTGTATTTCTAAATATTTAACATGACATGTAGACTTTTTTGAAAATGCAGATTCTGGGCCTCAGGAGCTGGGTATGTGGACAAAGGGCCCCGTAAACTGAACCGCAGTTAGTCCCGTGTGTCAAGTGCTAGCCAACGTCAGAAGTAAGCACACAGCATGCCTGACGGATTGACTGGAGTAAACTGGCTTTGTAGACAGGGTGGGCATATTGTGTCAGAAATGTCCCAAGTATTCTGGGTGTCAGGCCCCCGCAACCACGCGAACCTCACATTTCCTCACTTCTTGCCCTCCAAGTGCAGCACTGGGCCTTGAGCAGGTGATTTCCTAATCTTGTCTAAAGGAGGTAACTACAGTACCCTCCAGCTCTGGAGAGAACAGATGCTGCCCAGGGCCTCTCCCTGCTACTTGGGGGTTTTTGTTTGTTTGTTTCTAGATACTTTACAAGCAAATGGTGGTGATTTTTTGGTGGTTGTTTAAATGCTGTAGGTGTTGCCTTCAAATTTATAGTTTATTGTCAGGATCTTTAGACATTTATGTGAACTATCAAGCATAGTTCTGAGATTCATTTAAATCCTCATGAACCAATAAAGGATAATTTTTTTATATGTGAGAAAAAATGAAAATGCATTACATGCAGACATGTTCAGTTTAGAGTCACCATTGACAGCCTCTGTGGGACCATCATCTGTCTGCACCACTTTGCTTTCCATCCCTCTGTGACCCCTGCTCTTTACTCCTCCAGGTCCCCAGCTATTACCGTGAGCCCTTGACCGGGTTGTTGTTACAGGGCTTCCACGTGCCAGAGCCCACAACACTGGACTCGATGTAGTACCCCACCAGCTCTTTCGCATCCTTGGACTCCTCCCAAGTCACGACCACCGAGGTGTCTGTGTTCCTGCTGGGTATGATGCTGCCAGGGGGCTTGGGGATGTCTAGAAAGAGAGGAAGACAGTGGTCAAACCCAGGGAGGTTTCAAAAAATCCACTCTTATCTCACACACACACACACACACACACACACACACACACACACACACGTACACATTATATAAGTAATCATGTCTGTCATTCTAGAATACATCTGATAAAGCAGAAAATATACAAAAGAAATGTTTTAGTTTATAATGGTAAACCAAATACTCATTAACCCACTAACTATAAGAAAAACTATCATTGTATAACCAACCCTTAGAGAAATTTATTTCTAAAAAAATTGTTATTTAATGAGTCTAGTAAAATATTCAATTTAAATGTATAATTTAAAAGAAGATTGTCACCATTTTTACTTCTATATCTATACATAATATATGTAAATCTATATACATGTAATAAATCTATATAGAGAGCTCTGGTGGGGTAGTCTATAGGAAGTTGTTTTACTACTAGCTTAAAGGCCTAGCATCTCTGGCAGTTTGAATCCACAGGCTACTCCAAAGGAGAAAGATGGACAATCTCCTCATATAATTTGTAGCCTGAGAAATTACTGGAGGGTCAGTTCTGAGTCATTTCCTACTTGACGACAATGAGAGGGAGATTCACACACACATGTGTATATGTATGTACATATTCATACATACATATGCATGTATCTGTATTACACAGAGATACATACATATATGTGTATATGTATGTATTTCAGGCCATGATCTTTCCGATCACTTGCTGTGTATCTGAGAGCTGGACAATGAACAGGGATGATAGAAGAATTGATGCCTTTGAGCTGTGGTGTTTGGAGAAGAGCACTGAACATCCCATGGATGGCCAAAGAACAGATAATGTCTTGGAGAGGATGCAGCCAGAGAGCTCTTTGGAGGCAGGAATGATGAGGTTTCACCTCACATACTTTGGGCATGTTGCTAGGAGGGGCTATTCCTTGGAGAGGGACATGATGCATGAACAGTGGAGGGTAGACCAAGGAGAGGAAGACCCTCTACCATGTGGATTGACACAGAGACTGCCACAATGGGCTCTAATGTGTCAGAAAGTGTGAGCATGGCACAGGATAGGACAGGGTTCAAATATGTTGTTCATAGGGTTGTACTCGACTCAACGGCATCTAACAACAAATGTGTATATGTATACAAATATACACATAAATGCATACATGTACTTGTGTATGTATATGTATACAGATACAGAAACAGTAAGTTGTTTTCAATTTCTCTTGAAGTGAGATAAGTCGACAGTCGCTTAACTTAGCCTACACTTACCAAGCTTGTCCCCTACCACAGTCACCTCTGTCGCCTCCGAGGGCTCCCCAACTCCAGCAGAATTAGCACAGCGAACGCGGAAGCTGTAGGATTTCCCTTCTGCCAGATCGAACAGGGCAAAGCGAGGGGACTTCACAGGCAGCTCGGTGTTCACCCGCTGCCAGTTTTGCGTCTCTGCTTCACACTGCATAAGAGGGACAGCCGGTGAGGAGACAGCAAGGCTGCCTGGGACACTGTGCGGGTACAGATCGGGCTGCCCAGAGTCTGCGTTTGTCAACACCCTGCTGACTAGCCTGGGAGCTACTAAGTGCAAAATGGCAGATGAAGAGTCAGATGTCAAACCATCACCAAGTTGATGCTAACTCACAGCTGCCCTGGACAAGGTTACTAAAGCTGCCATCTTTATGCAATGGAGCCCTGGCAACATAGTGTGTTACACATTGCACTGCTAACCAAAAGGGCAGGTCAGCATTTCGACTCCACCAGCAGCTCCTGTAAGGATGTACAGCCTCAAGATCTGATGGAAGGCGCTGTGAGCTGGAATTGACTCCACAGCAGTGGGCTGGGGGACCTTTAGGAGCAGACTGCCTCCTCTTTCTCCTGCAGAGAGTAGTGGATTTGAATCACTGACCTTTGACCTTTTAATTAACCACTGTGCCACCAGGGTTTCTTTCTGATGATTTCATGGGATTGTCGACATTAAATATGCCTTTATACTGTTTGATAAATAAACTGCTTTGTTGGTTTTTTTGAAAGAAATTTTCATATAACACTGGTTTACTGACAAATTCAGATATATTGTTTTTCCACACCAGATCTTTCCCATTTCCTTTACCCACCCCTCCCTCCACCCATCAAATTGTGCAGCCCTATGATTAACCCCCTGCCCATCCTACCCCCTCTGCTCCTACTCCCCCCACCTTGGATCCTCATACAAGTTTTATTAATTACCTTTCTATTTCTACAATAATGGTCTCATGCAGTATTTGTCCTTATGGGACTGAGTTAGTTCATTTAGCATAATGCTCTCCAGTTCCTCCCAAGTCAGGTAGTAATTTTCAAAATCGTTGCTCCTGTATGCTGTATAGTATTCCATCGTGTGAATGTACCACAATTTCTCAATCCATTTGATTGTGGTTGGACAGATAAAATAAGTTGTTATAATGTTAGAGTGGTAAGACAGTGACTGAGATGTGGTAAATAGTAGCTATTTACATTTCCTCTCAAAGAAAGGAGGGCTGGGAAGTGATGAAGTCCTGATTCTGAAAGAGCTCAAGATAGAAGAGATCTGAAGGGAAGCGCAGGGAACTGTGGTGACATAGCTGGTAAAAAGCTGCACTGCGAACCTAGAGGCAGGTAATTTGAATCCACCAGCTGCTGTGCAGGAGAAAGATGGACAATCTCCTCTTGTGGGGTTTACAACATCTGGAAATTCGCTGGAGAGTCAGCTGAGTCAGCTCCGACTTAATGGCACATATCTGCAACAACAACAAAAAGCTGGAGCTCGGGAAACCAAGACATCCACTTTTCTGGCTTAGAGTAAGTTTGCTAAGCGCTGACATGCCCTACCTGGTGGTCGACCTGCAGCTGAGCACCAAGCTGATGGCAATCCAGTTAAACTGTGGGGAGAAGTGCTGTGTGAAGCAAAAGCCTCATCATGTTCCACAGCATTGTGGGTATGGAAATTCCACAGATAAGAACAAGTGAAGCATTTCCCATGTGAGTGTGATCATAAATAGAAACAGCTCATCGGAATTCTTTGGACTCGGCTCAGGAGGCCAACCTGACACCTGGACAGCTGCTCAGTGTAGGTATCAGCCACATCAGGGGGTTCGGCGTGTGCCCTGGGTCCAAGACAAACCTCCCCCTACTCAGTCATGAATGCTTCCTGCTGTGGAACATAACAACAAAAACAACAACAGCATTCCCTTCTAGGAGTCGCTACAAGCCATTAGCACATTTGACTGCTAACCCAAAAGTCGGAAGTTTGAATCTCTTGATATAAAGGCCTGGTTATCTACTTCTCAAAACTTGGCCATTGAGAAGAGAGCACAGGGCTCCTCTGACATAAGTGGGGCCGCCATGAGGCAAGGTTAGCAGTTCATTTGGTTTGGTTTCCATTCTCTGAGGGGTGCTGAGGTGTTGGTGGAAGAACATTTAATCACATATGTAATATGGTCTAGGGAAGTTATAGGCTTTTATGGAGAAATTTGTTTATGCAACTGGAGGATGTGTTCAACAGAAGCCACAACTGACTCATTTGAAGAAAATGCCTCCGTGGTAGGTTGCTGCTGTGTTATTATTATAGGAAAGGGGGTAATTACTGTCAAGGAAGTTGTTTAACAACGCTTTCCTAGGGAGTGTTTCAAAGTGATTCAGAGAGGCTGTGCATCAAACACACCAGGAAGTGAAAATTTACTTTTATTGCCTTTTATTAAAAAAAAAAAAGCCAAAGATGCTGCTTAGGTTATATTTTAACTAAGTATGAGATCTAGAATACAGGGGAATTAATGTAATTATAAATTCTTTTTGGCAAAACCACTTTTTCAGAAGGTATCTATATCAGACATTGAAGAAATGATGCATTTATTGGTACCAATTTGCTATGGATAAGAAAGAAATGAGCTCTGGTGGCTTAGTGACAAGGAGTTGTGTTGACAGTCCAAAGACACTCAGTTCGAATCCATCAGTTGCTCTGCAAGAGAAAGATGGGCAGTCTCCTCCCATGCAATTTACTACCTCTAAAAATCTGCTGAGGAATCAGCTGTGAGTTGTTTTCAACTTGATGGAATACTATAACTGTTGTTGTTACAACAAGAAAGAAAAGAGGAATGTGCTTCAAAGACATGAGTTGTGTATTCACGTCAAGGAAAAATAAAGAATAATGGGAACTACAGACCTAGTATTTTTAGCTGTAGTATAATTTCCTCAAGGGCTTATTATTTAAAATAATGAAAAAGTCATAATGGCATTTTAATGCTGTTACCTAGGATGTGAAAGCTTACACACACCTATTCTGCAGTAACTGTCAGAGATGAGAAGTGTCAGATTTTATTTAAAAATTAAAAAGCACAGTTTGTCTTTTGCTTTTCAAGGAGAGGAGCGAACTGGGGGTAGGGTGGGTGGGGGTGGAGAGAAAAGTACAACAATGAATGAATGGAATTCCAAAATATCTGTAGATGTTCATTGAAATTAATAATAATAATAATAATTAAAAAATTAAAAAAATTAAAAAGCACACAATTTTGTTGCATTTCATTGTTCCAAAATGGTCCATACTTAATGGCTAACAAGGGAGTTTTTATTCTCATAAGATAAAATCAGTGCTCTTCTACTTCAGTTTTTAAATTATATGTTGTTGTTGTTGTCAGGTGCCATCGAGTTGAGAAAGACCCATAGAGTGACTCTATAAACAACAGATATGAACCCTGTCCTTTCCTGTGCCATCCTCATACTTCCTACACACTAGAGCCCATTGAGGCAGTCACTGTGTCAGTCCACCTAGTTGAGAGTCTTCCTCTCATTTCCTTCATCAAGCATGATGTCCCTCTCCAAAAGAATAGCCTCTACTAGCAACATACACAAACTATGTGAGGCAAAGTTTTTTCATCTTTGTCTCCATGGAGCACTCTGACTATACTTTCTCCAAGACATATTTCTTTGTTCTTTGGGCAGTCCATGGATGTTCAGTGCTCTTCTCCAACACCACAGCTCAAAGGCTCAAAATTCTCCTTCTGTCATCCTTACTCATTGTCCAGCTCTCAGATGCACCAGAAGAGATCAGAAAGATCAAGGACTGAATCAGACGCACTTTAGTCTTCAAATTTACATCACCGCTCCTCAATAATTTTTGAGATGTTCCTGACTATAGACTTTACTAGTGCAATATGTCTCCTGATATCCTGACTGCTAATACCAAGGGTGTTGATTGTGGATCTTCCTCACTTTCAGCAAGCAAGGTTGTGCCATCTGCATAATATAGGTTATTGATGAGTCTTCCTCTGTTCTTGATGCTTCATTCTTCTTTATAAAGTACAGCTTCTTGATTAATTTGCTCAACATATAGACTGAATAGGTATGGAAAGAGAATACAACCTGACGTATTCCCTTTTAATTTTAAACCATGTACTGTTCCCTTTCTTGGCCCACACAACAGACTCTTGGTCTAGCTATAGGTTTTGCATGAACACAATTAAGTACTCTGAGATTCCCATTCTTCTCAATGTTAGCCATAACTTGTCATGATCCACCCTGTCAAATACCTTTGTATAGTCAATAATGCACAAATAGACATTATTCTGATATTCTTTACTTTCAGCCAGTATCCATCTGACATCAGAAATTACATCCCTGGTGCCACGGCCTCTTCCAAATCCTGCTTGAACTTTTGGCAGTTCCCCTATCTATAAACTGTTCTAGCCATTTTTAAAAATTATCTTCTTGCAGTATTCTTCTTGCATGTGACTTAATGATACTGTTCAATAGTTTCCACATTCTGTTTTATTACCTTTCTTGGGAAGGGGAACAAATCTATTGGCCAGATAGCTGTCTTCCAAATATCCTGGCATAGTCTAGTAAGTCCATGCAGGGCTGCATCTCTTAACCGAAACCAAGTCAACTGGTATCCCATTGATTCCTGGGGCCTCATTTTTGCCATTGTCTTCAATGCAACTTCCACCTCCTTTTTCCTCCTGCTTATACGGTACTTCCCAAAATTTTTCAATGTCAGTCAGTTCTTTTTGGTACAGTTACTCTGGGTATTCCCTCCATCTTCTTTTGATGTTTTCTGGGTCATTCAGAATATTGCCTATGGCATCCTTCAATATTCCAACTAGAGGCTTAAACTTGTTTTTCAGTTCTCTGAGCTTGAGAAATGCAGAATGAGTTCTTTCCTTTTTATTCCCCAATTCCAGCCCTCTGAGTTCTTCCCTTTTTATTCCCCAATTCCAGCCCTCTAAGTTCTTCCCTTTTTATTCCCCAATTCCAGCCCTCTGTACATTCCATTATAATACATCTTCCTCTCAAGCCGCCCTTTGAAATCTTCTGTTCAGATCTTTTACTTCAGCATGCTCTCTCTTTGTTTTGGTTTCTCAACACTTTAGTGCAGTTCTCAGAGTCTCTTCTAGCCAAGACTTTCTAAACAAGTTAAGAATCCTCAGTTTAAGGAAATTCTCTTTAAATGCC